TGATCTTTTCTGGTCAACTGAGTCAACGACGCTACTATCTTAGAGAATCCTTCAATAAACCTTCTATAGTAGCCCGCTAGCCCCACAAAACTTCTAACTTCAGTGACCGAACGGGGACTGTCCCATTCCAGTACCACTCGCACCTTAGCCAAATCCACCGAGATACCTTCTGCCGAGATTACGTGCCCCAAAAACTGTACTTCCTTCATCCAGAATTCACACTTGGATAACTTGGAATATAACTTCTTTTCTCTCAACACACCAAGCACTATCCTAAAGTGTTCTTCATGTTCTTCACGACTCTTGGAGTAAATTAGGATATCATCAATAAAAACGACCACAAACTTGTCAAGGAATGGTCTAAAAATGTGATTCATGTAGTCCATGAATATGGCAGGAGCATTAGTAACACCGAACGACATTACTACGTACACGTAGTGACCATATCGAGACCTGAATGCAGTCTTCTAAACGTCTCCTTCCTTAACCAGAATTTGGTGATATCCTGATCCCAAATCAATCTTCGAAAATATAGTAGCCTCATGCAATTGATCCAACAGATCATCAATCCTTGGCAAGGGGTACCTGTTCTTGATAGTCAACTTGTTCAACTGTCGATAGTCCACACACAGTCGAGAGCTACCATCTTTCTTCTTCACTAACAATACTGGAGCTCCTTAAGGTGACACACTTGGCAGAATGAACTGCTTGTCCATTAAATCTTCAATTTGCTTCTTCAGTTTGGCCAACTCGGCTGGAGACATCAGGTATGGCGCTATAGAGACGGGCCCTGCTCCCGACACCAAATCAATTGTGAACTCTACCTCGCGAGGGTAAGGTAGTCCGGGTACTTCTTCTAGAAAAACGTCTGAAAATTCATTCACAACTGATCGTTCTCCACTTCGCTCGCGACTAACCGCTCGGTCATAACTCAACTCCTCGAGCACTTCATCTGTATGCGTCATTATCAGAAAATAGTTGGCACCTTCCATGATATCTTCTCTTAGTTGACCGAGCGTTATCGAATTCTCTTCTTCTTCATCAGGGAATACTAACTTCTTCTCACCACAATCTATGAGAATGTGATTGGCAGCCAACCAATCCATTCTTAAAATCACCTCCAATTCTTTTAAAGGTAAACAGATAAGGTTTACTTTATATCTACGCCCTTCCACCTCAATAGGACATCTAATGCACATAGTAGACGTCGTAACCTCACCAGACGCTGGAGTTGACACCACCAAGTCAAACTGCATCTTACTCTCAATCAATCCCAGTTTCTCAACGCACGCCTTCGAGATGAAGGAATGTGTTGCCCCCGAGTCAAATAACACACAGCAAGAAATACCATACAACAAGCAAGTACCGATAATGAGGTTACCTGAGTTTGTTGCCTCAACACCAGTTATTGCATAAACTCAACCGACCGCTTGTGCTCGGCCACCACCTCTCGGTTGATTTCTTCCAGCATTCGGTGGCCTCATCACTTCTCGCCTTCCATGTTACACTCGCTCTCCAGATGACCATTCCTTCTACACCAAGCGCAAAACTTTCCTCCCACTAGTTGAGGACATGACGACCGGTATGGGGTCCTCCACATTGAAAAAAAGTTACGGTCCCCTACTGTCCAGACTGACTGACCGCAACCAAAGACTGGGAAGGAGACCTACCAGAACTTGCGGGTAGTGCAGGACGAGAATAAGGGGTCCTCCTCTGACCTGAAGTGTTTCTTGAAAGAACGGGTCCTCGAGCCGTCTGCT